CGGGGCCCCCCCCCCCCAGCAGCCCGGGGAGACGGGGAGCAGCTTTTCTCGCCCCTTTTCTCGCCCCAGAGGACGCGGGCAGCGGGACCGCGGCGCATCTGGGCGTCCCGCCGCTCCCGTCCTCCGGGGTGAGAAAAACCCCGTTCGTAATTGCGGATCCGACATAAGTCGGATCCACGTAACTCGGGGACTTCCTGTATTTGAAACCAACTCTATACTTGCATGGGCTAGATTCTGGTGGATGAAACTTTGCTGTGTAGAGGAATTCACCTTTTCAGTGCCCTCTTAAACACTAGAGAACTAAAGTACCGTACACTCTTCTACTTATGACATTTAAAATGTCTGCTTTGTAACTGGTACACTCTAGACTAAAAGCTGTGTGCTGTGTAAAAGCAAATGCTGTTTTTCTGGCAGATCTGCATGTTCTACTCCAAACGTGAGACACATTAAGGCTCTTCCATCTGATCGTACAGCTGCAAACTATAAATCTGCTCCACGGGTTTCTAGAAGGTAAAGCTTTTAGGTCATAGAATGACTGATCTCTTAAATTCTTATTACCACCCATATCTGGATTCCACCTAAGGAATGCTCCTTTGAATGAGACAATGCGAAGATCTTTTTAAGTACGGTGTCTGCCACTTCAGGAATATAGGAAAAGGGTCATGGAGGGGAACCTGAAGTGGGTGACTGATGTGGATATGTGCAACTAAACTCTTGTGCCAAAATTCTAGCGGTATGGCTGTGCTTTTGTAGTTAAGGCTACCTTCTGAAGCCAGCTTAATGGAGCACAAGCTACTAACTTTGTCTGCATGTGTTGACTTGGCTTACAGAAACAATACAGTTTAGAAACTAGCTTTCAGGGCTCTAATATAACTGAAATAATTTTGTTTGTTGAAAGTACTTTCAACATTTAGTGTGAATTCAAACAAGTATGTCTAGCCAGATAAACTATATAGTATAGCTGAGCTGGAAAGGTTCAAAAACTGGTAATTGTGAACTTATTTCTGGCAGACAACCTGCTAAAGTGATATCCTTTACATTGAGGCTACATCTACACTACGAGGCTCTTGCAGAAGAGCAAATGCAAATAGACCATGTGTCGTGCTCTCATTTGCATTTCTTCTTTCTTTCCCTTTTGCGCAAAAAAGCATTGTGTAGACTGCACTTTTTTGTGCAAAAACCTCCTTTTGCACGAGCTGTTTTCTCATTTTTTGAGACTGGCTCTTGCGCAAAAGGGGTTTTTGTGCAAAAAAGCGCTATCCACACAGCACTTCTTTGCACGAAAGGAAATGCAAATGAGAATGTGACACTTGCAAATGGAGCGCTCATTTGCATTTGCTCTTCTGCAAGAGGCTCATAGTGCAGACATAGCCTACGACAGCTCAAATAAGTCCTGAAGCCACACAGTGGTTCATAGCACAATGGCTTAATAGCAGGCCAGTGTAATGCTAAGAATCTTGTTTTTCAGGTTAAAGAAACCCAAAGTATCCTACTTTCTCTCAAATATTGCACCTTGTCTCTGACTGTTACTTGTGGTGCCAATAAACACTTACAGCATTAAGATGTTTGGGTTTTCTTTAGTGTTGATTCCAAACAGCTTGTAGAATAAAGTAGAAAATGAAGCTTTTCTCATGAAGTGCATATGTGAATCTGGCTGTTACTAAATCATGCAGGCCCTAATGGCTGGCACACATGAAAAGGCAATTTATTATCTGTGAAACTTATCATATTCTATTTCTAGACTAGCACAAATGGCGGTCTCAAGAACTGTACCTATGAGAGACAGAGTCCAACCCATGTCACTAAGAAGTAACTCAGTGCCTCGGGAAAAAGCTGTTCCATTTGTTAACATACCTCTGACTGATGGGAAGGTAGTACACCAACTTTTTAGTTTCACCTGCTTTAGATCAATATGTTTCTTGCAGATATATAAAAGGCGCATTTGGAAAATGTGTTATCTGTTTTTGCTAGCAAAATGGCATTTCAAAATCATAACTTTCTGAAGTAGCCACTTAACTTTCTGTATTGCTTTAGTGCCATTCTAATACATGACTTATAACAAGATTCTAACACTGGAATATATGATAGTCTCTAGGTATCATGCCAATGAATGTACTCATCAGCATTGGTGATGTGAAATAAGCATTTGATATATTTTCACTGGGCTGCACACTCTAAAGTAACTGAACTAAACACTCTGCAAATAACTTGGGCTACTGAAACTCTGTGAAACACTTGTTTCAGCCTGTACTACGGCTGACTTTGAAACATGGGATTCTGGCTGTGACAGCTGATGGATATTGGTTAGCTAATAAGAATGATATCTCTGTGCTCTTGGTGTGCTGAAAACTCTTGTTTCTTGAATTAACTACTTGACCAGTAGTAACACTAGTTTAATGGGTCATTAGCTTATGATTGATATTTATGAACATTAAAGCCAATGATGAATTAGAAGACGACATGCAGACTTTAACACTTTTTGGGCAGAATGTTCTTTGAGCCAGTAAAGCTGTTACAGATATTGAGTGGAGGTGTATATTTAAGGAAAATGGATATAGTGATTCATATAAAACATACTGAATAGCCTTATCTCTAACTTTCTGATTTATGCTTAGACTCTCTGTTCTGCTAATGAAGACCTTCATAACATCAATGTTGAGTTGCTTAATGATGACACAGTTCAACATATTCATAATCTAGTGGTAAGTTTAAAGAACCAGAAACTTGTAAGCATTCTATAGGCTAATGGCACTGAAGTCCTGGTACTTAGCCTTCAAATCTAAGGAACAAACAATTTCTAGTAAGGGAGAAAAGTTTCAAGTTTAAACTACTTGAAATAGCACTTTTTTCCTTACTAGAAATAGACTTTGTATAGGACTAATTTTATTCAGTCCTAACAGCGACCTTTCAAAGAAAGGGCAGAAGTCTTCCTTCTCCCCTGTGTACCCTGATCTGAGAAGACACTGTTAGTGAGAAGAACAGTGTCTCAATCTGCAGAATTAAAACCAAGACAACTGAGTTTCACATCCTATACAAGCCCTCTAGTCTACATCAATCTGCATAAAAACTATAGGGGTTCCCATCAAATCTGTACTTACTTTGGCTTCTTCCTCCTCCTACTATACTCTCTCCTGGACACCCCTACTAATTCTTTGCCAACTAGTGGCTCTCCAAGAGGTTATTGTGATGGGCACTCTTAAGATGTAACTACTATTAGCAATAACTAATATATCCATAGGTAGTGAGTATTACGTAGAAAAGTGACCAATATACTAATATATCCATAGGTAGTGAGTATTATGTAGAAAAGTGACCAATATAATGGGTGAGACCTTACTTTAAATTATATGAATTGTAGCAGGCTGAAGATTTGGCAGCTACAATATAGCATTCTCTCTGCCTGTATTGCAATCAGGGTGGGGAAGTGTGTCTAAAGCTAAATACTAGGCAGCAGCGGAGATGCTCTGCCTCCTCTGCTAATCTGTGCTATATTAGGCAGCAGCGGAGATGCTCTGCCTCCTCCTCTGCTAATCTGTGCTATAACCTACTATTGAAGACTTGCTTGTCAGTTTTGCTGTCTTGCAGAGTTGAAACAACTCTAGTTTTAATATTTGCCAGTAAGGTTGGTCTAAAATAGCTTTCTTTCCCTCCCAGAGCCAGTTGACTGTTTTATGTGGGAAAGCGACAGTTAAACCAAGTTAACGGAGTCTACATGGAAAATCTCATTTTCTCAATTGCACAGAATATTTTTATAAAAATTACCGTTTGTCTGTTTTTTAAATATTTACATAGCACTTAATATATTTTAATAAAAGTTTAATACTGCATATTAAACTTTTGTCTCGAAAGACTTAATGAACACATATTGACTGTAAAATTAGTATGTTTTACAAGCTCAAAGCCATGTTACCAGTTGCTTCCTTAACTGAAATTTAAGACTGTTTTCTACTCATGTTAGTTTAATGAAAGGATAATTTTATATCCTTTCCAGATTGCTCATTTATTTTTGATCCCCTGTGATCAGTAAATTATACATAAGAATATAAAATAAAATACATCTGTTACATCAGAAGCTATTTTCCCATCATTCTGGTGGTAGACTGCATCAGTGCTAAGCACCATTTAAAAATCATGTAAAGTGACAAATTGGTCTAAACAGGTTTAAAAGTGAGTTTGTAGCAGTCTCATTTGTAACTTGTATGCTGCGAAGTAGGTAGAGAATATAATGTAGAGGGGGTAGAATCACTCTAAAAATCTTAGGCGATCTTGGTATTTTATTTTTTTAGTCTAACTCTTAATCATGTGCCTAAGACCAGGCAAAAAAGCTTAAAGTCTTGCCTATCTGAGGAGTTTAGATCAAATTTAGCTGCATAAGGTTGGGGGCAGGAGGGGAAGGTTTAGATCAAATTTAGCTGCATAAGGTTGGTGGAAGGAGTGAGTCCACACTACCAAGGCCATTCTGTCAACTTTAAGGGCCACTGAAGTTGATTTTTGGATACTCCTGCTTTTACGAGGAGTAATGCAAACTTTGATCTTCCATGGATGAACTTATGGTAGCGTAGACCCAGCGTTGCCATGGTCCGGGTTCTTGCACTCTGGGAGGCATCCCACAGTGCCCTGCTCTTGCCAGAACTTGCACCTCTACTACTCCAAGAGAATAGGAAAAGCACCAGGAAAGTTTGAATTTCATTTCCCATGTGACCAGCATTGTTAGTACATCTCAGAGTAGGCAGCACACCTGAGTAGGCCATGAGCTCCAGTTCCCTGGGGTGCAGAGTGCCAGCATGGAGTACAGAGGAGATCTTGGACCTCATAGAAGTGTGTGTGGGGGAGGAATCTGTTCTTTGGGAAGTCAAAAAACAGCAAAAGAAACACCAATATCTCTGCAAAGTGCCTGGTGGAGCAAGGATGCTCCAGGGATGCCCAGCAGTGACGAGTTAAAGGAGCTGAGACAATCCTATTTTATCACAAAACAAAGGAGGCAAATGGATGGTCTGGGGCATTACCACAAACATGCTGCTTCTACAACCAACTGCATGCAATTCTGTGTGGGGGACCCATCCAGCTTCCCAAGCCAGGTCATGGAGTCTGTCCAAGACGCAGAGGGCAGCAACATGGAGGGGAAGGAGAATGGCCAGCCAATGAGCATCAAGAGCCAAGAATTTTTCATCACTTGGGAGCCAATCCCCTCCTCCCAGGCCATCTCCCAATCAAGCACTGATCCTGGGGAAGGCGCTTCTGGTGCATTCACAATTTTTCCTTGCTACAAGGCAGTTGGGTGTGATGTCTGGCACACTCTGTGCCTACACAGCATGTGAGGGCCAAGTAGAAGCTATTAATGTGTCTGGAGGAGGAGTGGGAATCCTCCCTACCTGTCTCATAAAGCTCTTATAGGAACTATTTGATCCTTCTCTCAAGGTTTCTGGAGAGGCCACCTTATTCCATCCTCCATGGCAGGACACCTTCCCATGCCAAGCCAGCAGTAAGTGGTCTGGTGTCATTGCAGCACAAAGCATAAGGCCCAGGTTTCTGGCCACATTCAGTTAGTATCAGCTCCCTATCACTCTGATTCAGAGAAGACTGATATTTCGCATGACAACCTGGAGAAAGGAGGATGGGAAGCTATTAACTGCTGCCTCTGCTGCTATTGTGGCTTCAGCCTCCCTCTCCCATCCCACAGGCACGTGGGTAGGATGGAGGGAGAAAGTAGCACACTCCTGGGGAAGAGGGGTGTGATGGACACCGAGGAGGAAAAGTGTGAGAGCCTCCACCCTGCGCCCATCCTCACTGCAGGATTGTGCCTTGACAGGTCCCTTACTCTGCCTGCCTCCAAATGGCCCCTTGAACTCTGTTGTGTACTTATAGGGCCCTTCGCTGTATGTTAAGAGTGCAGCCTAAAACCTAATGTATCTACCCTGCCTCCAAATGGCCCCTTGAACTCTTGAAAGCAGTTGTAGAGTGGCTGCTTTAAAGCATAACTTCGGCCATACACAGACACATCTCTATTGTCTCTATAGGGCCCTTCGCTGTATGTTAAGAGTGCAGCCTAAAACCTAATGTATCTACTGTAGTGTGTACCCTTGTAACTCTGTTACAGCAGGGAACTTGCTAGGCACTGCTCCAGCAGTTTTCTGGCTCTCACAAATCCGCAGGTGAAAACCGACAAGGGAAGACATGTTTAAGGAGCAAATGGAGGGGAGGAATACATGCCTGGAGCAGATGTGCATGGACTGACAGGGTGAGATAGCAGAGCATGCAGGGAACTGCAAGCCAGGCAACAGGAGCCGGTCTTTTCCTCCTTGACAGCGGTGATGGAGTGTCTGGCTGCCTGCCTAGAGAATACCCTTCCCCTGCCGAAACTTCCTCCTCTCTTCACCCTATTGCATAGTTTCTAGCCCCAAGACACAAGGGGGGGGGGGGGAGAGAGAGGAAGATCAAGGGCAGCCTCACACTCAACCTCCAGGGCCTTGGGAGGCAAAAGGCTGTCCTCCTCTTTCTTGTTCTCTTCTTCCTCCTTGCTCTGCATGGTCTCTGAACAAGGCTCTGCAGTGCTTGTATTGCAGTGGTGGGGTGAGGGGTTGCAGGCAAACACACTGAAGGCAGGGACAGCACCTGGAGAGCAACATGCATGTCTCTGAACTGGCCATTCATAAAGCTTTCTTTCAAGGTCTCTCTGACTTGTGCTGTGCTCTTGTGGTGATCACCCTGGGGTCTGGCTGCTACAACTGTCTAGGCACTCTGCCTCAGGCCCCCGTCCCGCTGGGTAACTTCCCCCTGGCACTCTTGTATATTATGGAGCACACAGCAGGATGCCGCTACAAAAGGAAAGTTGCGTTCATTGAGGTCCAACCTAGTCAGACTCCTAAAACTTTCCTTTAAAAGTCCAGAAGCACATTCAACCACCATTCTGCACTTGCTCAGTCTGTAGCTGAACTGTTCTGTAGTGGGCTGCCTGTGTATGGCTTTATGGGCACAAGGGGTAGCCTGTGTTGCCAAAGATCGCTATTGGTATTTACACCTCTCCAATTCTAATTTTCCTTTCTTGGGGGGGGGGGGGGAGCAGTTGGAGAGGAGTTCCAGCATGCATCTCCTAAAGCTATGCATGCCATGCACCTTTCCTGACCATCCCATGATGCCAGTGAAACAGCCCTTGTGGTCCACCACTGCCTGTGCACCCTGGAGAAGTATTGCAAGCTTCCACAAGACAACTGCCCCATGCTTCAGCATGGTCTCATTTGGGAGTCCTTCAGCTTCAGGCCAGGGGAAAGCCATTCACACAGTTCGATGAAAGTGGCCTTGTGCATTTGGAAGTTTTGCAGCCACTGCTGATCATCCCGTACCTGCAGCACTATGCTCTCCCACTACTCTGGTGCCAGAAAAGGGAGTTTACTCACCTTGTGCAGTAACTGGTGTTCTTCAAGGTGGGGGTGTCTGTGGGTGCTCCACAACCTGCCCCTCCCCCCTGCTTTGGAAATGTAACACCTTCCACAGTGGAGAAGGAACTGATGCAACAGTTGATGCCCCATGTGCATCGGCATGTTTGCTCCGGCACTGTGGCGCATGCACGATGCCACCCTGGGAGTACTGCTGCCAAAAAGTTGATACAGAAGCATTAAACACCTAGAAACGAGTGTCCAGAGGGACACTCCTCAAAGAACCAGCATTCCACTGTGTCCAGAAAATTGCTTGCCAGCTGCATTTCAATCAGTGCAAGGGCTTTTCTGAACAGCGTGTCGACGGGATCCTGAGATTTGTGCTCGTCCTTTTCCTGGCAGAATGACATGTATATTCTCTGGAAATATTGACCATTAGCTGTACCACGATAGACCTCAACCTCACAATGGTTTGATGCAAAATGGGATCCATGCTTGGGCTGCTATGGTGTCTGTGTGGATTACCAGGGCCAAAAGGGCTGCAAGAAACCTGTTTCCCATTGGTCTCAAACAAGGGGGGGAAGAAAGTTGATGAGTGCATTATGCATTACATGAATCCAGGACTAACCACTGCACAGTTTTGGTCCCAGTATTCACCAGGAGCATAACCCAGAATGAAAGCGGAACAGGTACTGAGGGATAGCTACCCACAGTGCATTGCTCTCAAAGTCAATGGCAGTCTGTCTCATGGATATGTGCTACTTTGAACTATACTGAATTCTTATGCACAGTGGGGACATGGACCTTGGACTTTGCAAAATCAGGTGACTAGCAATCAACCTTAATAGATTTGACCTTAGCTCATAGTGTAGCAGGTCAAGAATAAAGTAGACCAGTGGTCCCCAACATGGTGCC